TCGCAGATCCAGCTCAAGACGATACCTAAAGAGGCGTTCCACCTGTGTTTCTCAAACTGCAGAAACTACGTTGGCATAAGTGTATAATATCACAGAGGGGCTGCTTTGAAAGAGATGGGATAAACATTGAAGATTAAATAAATACTTTCCGAGAAAATAAAAAATTCTCCTTACTTTTTGATCAAACCTCGTACGAATCGCGTTTGTGTGACACGATCTGCCCATCTTGAATAAAGCGAGAGAGAGAGAGAGAGAGAGAGAGAAAGAGAGAGAGAGAGAGAGAGAGACCGACTCCTGGCGCGGGGCGCGTTCGCCCATAAAACGCGCGTGGAAACGCCGCTCCGCTCGGAAGCGGACTTTATGCATTCTGCACGAGTCTCTCCGCGGCTGCAATCTCGTCTAGACCCGGTAGACGGAATATGCGCGCGCATATGCAACACATAACATCGGGAACGTCTTGGCTCAAAATGCATAACGATTTTTCGCTACGCTGCTCCTCCAGCGCGTGCGACGGCGAACGCTGCACCGAGGAGGTTTCGCGTCTCGCGCTCCTCTCCGCTCCGCTCCGCTTCGCTCCACCTTGCTACCACCTCGCTCAGCTGCAAAATAGCTCCGCAGCTGTTGCACGCTGGAGCACGCTGAAATTTCGAGCTTCTCGATTATTCGTCTTTCGACGACCGCCCATCTGCTGCATCGCGCGCGCGCGAACTACGCGAGTCCGAATCGATGGGAAGTAACGAGCTTGCCACTCGAACTTGAACACATGGCTATGTATGTATTAGAAAACGCGGACGTGCTTATTCGATTAATCAATCGGCTCCGCCGAATTGATCGGAGGAACCATCGCCGAAATTACAGTCACGTGTCTCTCGGGGGCGGGGGGGGGGGACGGCCCCCGATCAGTCAGTCCGGCTAACCGGAGCGCGCGGTTATGGGAAACGTTTGAAACTTGCCCGTAATCTATCCCGTCGGAGCTGCACTCGTTCGTTCGTTGATACGTAACGAGGAAGCGATTAGAGCGGTTATTAGAGACGGGAGCGTGCGAGAGCGCGAAATTAAAAAAGAAAAAGAAGATATCGCGCACAACGTACGCGCGTATAGCGGGAAGTATTTACACGCATCGGCGAATCGGCGCTGAAGGACACTGCGGTGCGATATTCCTGCATGAGGCATGACTGTACACGCACATTAATGCATACGCACACACGTAGACGCGCGCGCGCGCGACAGAGATATCGGTAGATATCCATAAATTGCCGTCTCGCTCGCACGTGTGCGATGGTCCCCACCTACGTGTGTATACATATGACGATGCAATGCATTATTCATCGGTAGCCTACGGTAGCAACGCCATTTGGCGCGATACAACTATAGCATTTCCTCGAGGAAACACAGAAATAGACGCTACAACCGTCAAAAGCGTCAGACTCGGCCAGGCACTCGTCGATGAAAGCTTCCGAATTTCCGCTGGCTGTCTTTTCGGTCTTTCGTCGCCGATTATCGTGAAAACGGCGCGCTCGCGCCGTCGCGTCGGCTGCCTTACAGTCGTAATTGAATTGATTTGTTGAATACCTCGCGGAACGGCGAGGTAGAAATCGCGCCGGACGGCGACAAGAAAGAAAGAGTGCGAGGACCCTCGGCTCTCCTTTTCGCCTCTGTCTTGCCTGTCGGATTTTTCAATAGGTTTTCCGTGAAATTTCCCCCTGGGTGAGAGAGATGCTTATTTCGTACTTTTCAAAGTTCTTCCCGGTCTCGATGAGAGTCGAGCCCGGGCCGACCAAGAGTAACCGGAATTCCGCAAGAACGGAATCTGCTTGAGATTCGAGCGGAGAATTTGTTCGTTCGACGAACCGGCTTTTTTGTGTCTCGTTCAATCGCAAGAGGAAGCAGAAGACAAGGTTTCGTCAATTATCGGTATCTTCCAGTTCGACTGTTTTTTCGCATATCCGAGGTTAACGGACAGACCTTCTCTTTCTTCCCATTAAGGTGCATTACGAAACGTTCTTTATATAACTTGACCGACGGAAGAATCCGTAAACGGACGAAAGAACACGCTAGGAAACTCAGCGCACTTGATGCACGGTTATTGCGTCGTGAGAAAAAGAGGTTCAAAAATTCCCGCAATTTTCCAGCCGTTGCGGGACGATGTTTGCTTTATCGAAAGTATAGCCGGATCTCATAAGATCCCGAGTAATAAGTCGCAATCTCGCTCGAGATCGTTCCAAGTCGGGAGGAAAGGAGCAGCGTAAACAGGACGTTTCGAAAGTTTATCGACAGTTTCTCTATTCTTGTCAATTTGTCGACTAATCGAGTCACGTTTATCGCGAGGAAATGGAACGACGCGGCTCCTCCTCGCGCGGCCGGTCGTTTCTCTCATTTCGCGGGGAGGAGAACACTTGAGAGCGCGCGAATATATTTTACCAAGGAATTTCCCGGGAAGAAGGGTCGGGCGAAAGGACGGAAGGCTCGCTTGTTCGCGAGTCGCTCGCGAAAAAGATGCCGATATAAATAGAGGATAGTAAATGGAAGGAAGCTTTCGGGACGTTTTAACGGAATTACTTGGCGCGCTGCGCGAGCGAGCGCAGGTGAGGGGCGTGATGAGATAAGCGTACGGTAAGCAACGATAACAGATATTACCTGAAAGGATAGAGTCATGATCGTATGTACACGGCGAGCGCGATGGCGATAAAGCGATTTCGGATCGCTCGCGGATATTCAGCCCCGTTCCCGCGATAAACGATCGATCACGTGCGAACGCGCGAACGCCTGTGAAATTATATCGGCGGACCGATCGGCAGATAAAATTGCGCTTTTCGAGTATTCTCACGGTCAAGATTACAGGGGAGAACGCGTAATCGGGTGTTCATTCATAAATACATATACACACGATACCCCGTTTGCGAAGGCTGTCTAAAGACCCATTTAAGCGGAACGGAATTGAATCGATATCGTGCGCCAACAAGAGAACGGCTCGCGTACGATTCCTAACGCGCTTCTAATTCCGCCGATGGCGGTCGGACGCGACGTCCGACCGCCATCTTCTTTTACATTACGCGCCTGCAACGTCACTTTTCACTTAAAACACATGACGCGACGGCTCGTGCTCATTTTCGCGACTCCTTTGTCAGACTCTGGACAATGAACGAGATTCTATCGCGAAGAGGATGTCGACGAGTTGCGCTGAAGCATGTCACGCGCGCGTGTCCGGCAATCGCGGTCTTATCTGTTTTATCTTTTGAGCAATCGGCTGATCAACAACCTGCGAATGCAATTGGAAAAATAGCTTGCGAACGCCGCGCGTCTCTCTGTTCTCTCTTTCGTTCCTTTCCCCTTTTGTACTTGCAATTTGGATAGATGATCGGCATTTAACTCTCGTCTACCTTGACGAATTTCTACCTCGACGAAAATATTGGGTATTAAACTTAATTTTAAAGGATTTACAAGAGATGGCGCAATGAGCACCTAATGGCATCGGCCCATGCTGAAGCCAACTTCATATGAAAGCCCTACCATTAAGGCTTTAAGAATCAGTATGTTTCATTTGGTCCAAGTGTAAATAACATATTTTTTTAGCGCATTCAATATGTCGAGTTTTGTGCCAACGAAACGCAATTTGCGGGGAGCGTTACTCTTTTTGTTTCCATTTGAAAAAATCGGCAGCTGGAAAGTCTTCGTTGGCTGTGTCCAAAGCTTATGGAGATTATGCTCCATCGACCTCAACTTGTGAGTACTGGTTTAGACGATTCAAAAGTGAAGATTTTACACTTATCCATCGTTCGAAGGTAATGCTCTGTATCTGGTGGGATCAGAAAGGTATGGTCTATTATGAGCTGTTAAAACGTGGCGAAACCATTACTGGGGACCGTTATTGACAACAACTAGTACAGCTGAACCGAGAATTGAAAGAGAAACCAGAATACGCGAAAAGACACGACAAAGTGACAAATTTTCCAGCATGACAACGCTCGCGGCCACATATCGCTAAACCGGTGAAGGAAACGCTCGAATGGGATGTTCTACCCTACCCCACCCGCCGTATTCACCAGATTGCATTCACATTGCTCCTTCTGATTTCCACTTGTTTCGATCCATGCAGAATCACCTTTCTGCCCAGCGCTTCAGTTCTTTGGAAGATATGAAAAAATGGCTCGATTCAATAACCATCACAAAAGACGAGTCGTTCTTCCGCCGAGGGATCCGTCTTTCACTAGGAAAAAAAATTTAGTATCTCTAACAAAACTGTTTAGTCGAGGCATTTTTTAATAACAACCAAATATCTTGTTTTATAACAAAATATTTGGTTGTCTCAACTAAATATATTTTTCTGCTTTGTTCTCTGGACCAAACGATTTTGTTCTTAGACTTCATATATAAAAATTAAGCATTTTAGTTATTTTATCCATAAAAATTACATAATAACGAAATATTATCTTACATAATCTTGTAAAATAACGCCCAATGGACACTATTTTGTCTTTCTGTGCACTAAAATTTAGATTTTATATATTAAGAAAAAATTATAGTATTTTTAACAAAATTCATATAGTTAAAGCTTTTTGGTTGCTATAACAAAAGTATTACGTTATACGAACAAACCGTAATCAAACAAGATATTTGCTTGCAGGAACTAAACAGTTTTGTTGGGCATATTTTAACCAAATTATTTTGTTGTTACCAACAAAATTCTGGTTCACGCAACAATACATTTTTCCTAGTGTAGAAAGATGGGAAAAAGTTGCAGTTAAAGATGGACAATACTTTGAATAACATGTACTTATCACTTTGTTTCGAAATAAACGTTCATTTTCACCATAAAAAAATCCTTTAAAATTAAGTTTAACATCCAATATCAATTGATAAATGAATCCGGTGCAGAGTTGGTGTTTGTTTCGACACAACGACGGGGATAACATATTGAAAACGCCCTCGTGTGTAAGAATCGCGTTTCCCTGGCACGAGTGAGCACCTGTCGCTCACCACACCGATGTGTTGTGTTTCAGATCTCGTGAAAATGACGGGCCGGACGATGCGTTATTTCTCTTCAACAAGGTAATGTAACGACGCCGGCGATATCCGGCGCGGGTTAATTAAAAATCCATCGATCGCGCAAATAATCGCGCGCATTTATCGCAGCGCACATTCGATCGGGGCGACGGTGCTATCTGTCGATAATAGACGAAGCGATAATAGGCGAGCTCGTTCCTCTCGGAGAGGCGCAACGTGCTCGGAAAGATACTCAGGAGAGGTGGCCGCGCTCGCTCGCTCGCGCACCTCGTCGACGGGAAGAAGTGCGCGAGTGAAAATTTCGTATCTAATTAAAATGCTGCTCAAGGGAATGTCACGCGACGGGTCGAGTCTCCAGCACGAATCGGACGTTGAATCGCGACGTTGCTCGGACCGTCAGAGCAAATTCTCTCCGACGTTTCGGCCATTTCGCCGTAACTCGCGATCGTCCGAGCGATGCGCCGTGCGATCGGCGACCTCGTCGTTCGACTTTCCTGCACCGGCTTCCTCGTCGTTCACTCGTCACAACAGTGCGTAAACGAGCGAAAAATGCGGCAAACTTTCGGCCGCACAATCGATGGGGCGGAGAGAGGCGCGAGGCTAACAGATCGAAGTTCGCCGCTCGTAATTGAACGCGTGCCAGAAAGGCGAGGCGGATCGAAGATACGCGAGCGGAATTCGGTGACGGCGACGTGCACGAGACCGAGCCGGCGAGATGTCTTGCACGTAGAGAGCCGTGACTTTTTTTTATTGTCGCCGCGATAAATATAACGACTAAATCGCCGGCGAGAGGAGAGAGAGAGAGAGAGAGAGAGAGAGAGAGAGAGAGAGAGAGAGAGAGAGAGAGAGAGAGAGAGAGAGGCGGCTCAGAATTTCTCGCGAAAGCTGGAAGTATCCGGCAACAGTCGGCTCGCGTTGTCGGTCGCATTTCGCATTTCGCCCAACTTCCCACGCGAAATCTCGCGGATCTCTCGTCTCTTTCCATCGATCGTGTCTGTCTGCTCGTCCCCGTCCGTCCATCCGTCCGTCTGTTCATCAGTTATTCGCACGTACGTAATCGAGTGGACTATTAATGTTAATATACACGTGACGTCTCACCCGATGCGCCGACCGTCGCTGTGGGTGTGTGGGTAGAATTCGCGGGACGGGAAACACGATATTTCCCCGAGATATCCCCTTAAATCCGCATTATTCCGGCGAAGAGCGTTGCACCGCGCGCGCGAGACACTGACGGGGGGGGGGGAGCCTCAAACGCCTCACGGTAAATTCTTTCATTACATCGACGAAGAGACACACGCGTCCGCACAACGATTCATTACAATCCTCGCGCAAGCTGCGAAATAAGATACGTTCTGCGACACGTCGCAGAAAATAACGAGGGAAATTACATTCCGGCGATAGTTGCAGGAAAGTGTTAATAAAGTTGAAACAGGCGTCCGCCGTTGAATTTTTGAGCGGGACTCGGAGCGTGTTTCGCGGCGCGCGTAAATTTTCGCTCCAGACAATGCGGCATTAGCATCGACTTTCAGCATCGCGCTCGCATCCTTCCTGTTTGTTCTACTTTGTATCGTATCTACCGATTCAGTAATCTCGGAGATTAATGGTCAGGCGCAACATGCGCTTAGATAACGTTGCATTTAACCTTTAAGCGTCTGTACAAATGTATACTTAGCACATGTGCTTGGCGTATATGCAAATGCTCGAATAGGCTGTATGCAGCCGCATTACGCCGTACGCGTAATTATATTCTCGCGAATCGCCGAATGTGATTCGTATCACGGCGCGTGTAGTCGTTTTAAGTTCAAAAGAGATTAAGGGCTGTTATCTCGACATTCGTGTTCGGCGTTTCGTGATATGATTTCGTATTTCAGGCTTCACTGATGACTCTGGTGTCGTTGATCGCACAGCGAAATTGATTCGGAGGCTAATTTGGGATAACGTGATATATCATATATTGCATTATTGGAATAATCGGCCATAGAATTCGTCGCTTTCTCTCTCTCTCTCTCTCTCTCTCTCTCTCTCTCCTGAAAATAATTACTTTATCGGGTCATTCCTCGAATGCCTCTTGAAGCAAAGATAATCTTCCAATCTTCGCGACATTTAATATCATCTGATGAAGAGCTCTGCAAATAACAATCTCAAACGAAATTTTGACCTCGGTTTCAAATTCCGATTACAACGTCGAAGCAGGTCACGAAGAAAGTTTCAAGAAACAATTATGCAGCGTGGTTCTCAATTTAATGTACTCAGTGGAGAAAAAAAAAGAGAGAGATCGACGAGTCAGAAATAAAGAAGAAATGTGCAGTATCTTTTTTTATCGGCGCGGCGAGGGGACGATTTATTTTTAGCGTCGAAGGATTCGGAATACAAATGTTCATCTCATTGTCAACGTTAGTCATCCGGTCAATGCTTGGTCTTTCCAACGTCGAATTATCACTTGGCGGCCGTACGAAAGTGACGCCGCCTATTCGCGCAATGTATTACCGTAGACGATACACCGCATTTACGGAAGCTGCGTTTATCTCTACTCGGCCCGCAGGAACATCGCGCTTGAGCTCTTTACTCAACGACGCGTGTGCTCGTTAAACTTCGCACGAGACCGAAAGGTATATCTGATAAGACAGGTCAGACGCTCTCTTATCTACGGTAGACATCGTATCGTCGCTGATAAACAGCGACATGCGACCAAATGATTGGACGATTTCGCGCGCAATTGTCCTCCGTCTAATGAAAATGCCCCGGCTAATAATCGCGCCAAGCGCTCGAGGGTGCCATCGTCGAAGAATTTCCGTCTTATCTCGAGATGCAACGAGTTAATTAGGCAATTGCAAAGTGCAGGTGATAAATGTCTCGTATGCGTACCTAAGCGAGCGGGCATCTGATTTATTAATTTACTTCAATTTAATTCCTGAGATGAGACGGCGCGAGCAACTGTCCCAACTGTGCGCTTGTAATCACTTACGCTTCGGTATTCACGTTGGCTTTGAATTTCACCCGAAACTCGTCATAACCGGTAATATGTAAAATTTACGATAAGGACGCATGTGTGCCCGGGATAAATATGGACCCGTGTTAACTGACTTATTAAAGAAGAGTGGCGCGACCGTCAGAAATTGGGCCACCGCCGCTAATTGGGACGTTCGTCCCAGAGAGCACCTCGCGGCGATCTGAATTTATTCCGCAGACAGACGACCGTGCTATTTGTTTACAAAGTACACAATCGCCCGTAATAATCGTCACAAAACGCCCGATAATCTTTTTCCTGTTGCCGACGCGCCTGCACGTCGGAACGCGTTTCTTTCCGCGCGAGCTCGAGCTACTTACGAGCATGTCTCGCTCGCTTACACGAAACGCATTTTCATTCGCCGAAGGACATCTGACCCATTCGTTTGTGTGTAAAGTCGTGCGACACGAATATAAAAGTCAAATTTCTCCTCACTAGAGTTTCGTTCGTCCGTGCGACTTGGCGTAGTTCCGCGAGCTTTTCGAACATATTTACACGTCGTTAATGCCTCGTGTGAACTTTGTTTCAGGACGATCTCCTAGGAATGACACTATGAAAGGTGAGTGAAAAAATAGCCCGAGGACTGTACCCACACGCACGTGTGTGTACATACATACAAGCACACACGCTTACGCGCGCGCACGCATATGCGAAGCGATTTCCTCGCGATGTTATATAAAAGCGGCTGTCCGAATGACGTGCTACGCACGAGAAATATTCATCGAGCCGACGCACGTGTCCCGTCACGTGAAATGAGGTAATGTGCTACGTCGCGACAATGTTACGTGTATGTGATAATGCGGTAAAATTCGTTACGTAAACCCGCCACGTTTGCACTCGTCGAATATTTGGCAAATGGCGCGATTCCGAGGGTCTCTCCCTCCCTCTCTCTCACTCTCTCGTCGCGTACATCACAACCGGCGTATTACTCGTCGTACATTTTTTATTTCGCACGCGGGCGCGCGGCCGTTTCACCGGCCCGATTTTCCAGGCGGTGCGATTGTTTGCCAAATATTCGGCGGATGCAAATGCACCGGGCGGCGGGTTTTATGTCGCGCTCGCGCGCGACGCATACATTGTCGCGCCCGCACGTGGGCAGTGTTTAGCCTGGCGATATTTATCGAGTAGACGCTATCGATCTTATCAACGCTACTTTCGCATAATGCGTGTACACGGGCATCGTGGCGTTACGTACGGCGCGCGACGTTACCACGGGTGTTTTTACGCAAAGTTTCCTCTCTCGTATCGATCGGGCGTAATTACTCCGCGAGTTGAAGAATTACGACGGATCGACGAAGGTGCGTAAAGTGACAGATACGAGGGCAGTCTGAAAAGTTCTCGGCCTAACAATGAAAGACAATTCTTTTTGCCGTGAAATATGTTTTATTTTTCAATATAACCTCCTGAAACTTCAATGCACTTATTCCAACGTCCAATTTCCGATAATTCAATATCATCGTTAAAGTGTGATTCCGGAAGGTTCTCTTTTCGCTCTGGTGTATATAGCGGTGGATCCAAGTTTCATCAACAGTTATGAAACGACGCTTGAAGTCCACTTTATTTTGCTTAAAACGAACCAAACACGCTTGAGAAACACGCATTCGAATGCGTTTTTGGTCGATTGTTAGCAAATGCGGCACCCAATCTTGCACAGAGCTTTTTCAACTGGTGCTACTACTCGGATGATTTGACAGATCGAATAAAGTTTCACATGGGTTTATATCAGGGGTGCCACTTTCCAATACAATTATAGTTTGACAGTCTCTATAATGCCGTGTATGCGTCAGGTCGAGAATTTTTCAGACTCTGCCTACGTACTCTGGTGATTGCAATTAGCGACGCCAGGAGGGGTACGCCCTCCGTGTCTTATCGCGAGCGTGTGAGCAAAAAAGCCGCATGAGGTGCGCGCGCGCGCGCGAGAGAGAGTCGGAGCATAAAAGCGATCCTTTTATCTAATTATTTTCTTGCGCGCCGCTTGCATCCGCGCTCTTTGCCGCGCACGGACTACTTTTTGGAGGCAATGATTTCGCGACTTTGGAGGAACAGTAATTTTTGCGCCGGCGGCGGCGCGATACGACGGGAAACCGGTTTAGTCGCAGTTCGTTTATATACGCACGTCGGTTCATCGCCGTCACTTAATTATCTGTATGTACAGGAAAAGCACACGACCCGACCATACAAGGTTTTGCGAAGCAGTATCCTGGCTGTACATTATATACCAGGAAAAAGTCGGGAGGTGAGTCTAATACGATGCAACATCATCGTATAATGCTCCATTCTCGTTAGACTCTAGACCGAGCTGTCACGAGCGACTTCCGTCTTCTCTTTCTTTTCGAGTGTGTGTACACTCCTCTCCATATATAAATTTACTTTGATTTAAGAGAAGAGTACTCTCGGTTCGTGTGACTGATTTTCTCTTACCTGAGAACCAGACGAAACTTCGGCTGCGAGAAGAGAAAAATGCCCGCAGGAAGCTCCTGATCAGTCATTTATTACCAGTCGATTGCTTCTTCGACCGAGTTTTCCAAGCAGCTCCGACTGTTTAAACGGAGATACGTTTCTGAATCGCGAGATTTCGTCCGAATTCCAGAAATGCAGTTACACGAGCTGGGATCTCCTTCTCCGTGCATGAAATATTTTACAACGGTGCCCCTTATGCACGCACGCAATTTTAGAAGTAACAAGTTCGCTCGTCACATTTAGGATCAACGGTCGTCGGAGGGTCGAGATCGGGCCGCGGAATTCTACTGAGGACCCTCGTGCTCGTCTTCCTGGCTACGTTTCTCTACCTGCAACTCCACGTGACGTTTAGTCTGACGGGTCGAGATGATTCCGGCCAGTCCTCGTCGAACGAAACCCTCTTCTCCCTCGTGCCTCAAGAATTGCACAGGTAATTTCGTGGAGCTCATAAGCTTCATTATGGCAACTTGGCCATTCTTGCGACTGTTGGGGGGAGGGGGGAGGAAACAAATCTCGGTTCGTGTAACAGAACAGAGACCAGACGAAAACTCGCTGATGAGAAAAACGGCAAACTCTGTCTGATCGCGACCGACTCGCCTGAACAATTTGGCTTCGCTCAAACTTGCTTGAGATAATCTGGAAAAAAAGAAATTAATACTCACACACGCATGATTTTCGTGTCTCTGCATGGCCATACATAGTCCACGCGCAATTATATATGTTTGCACAACGAAGAGAAATACTGTCGCGCAAATACAATTGTGGCGAATACAAACGCTTCACGTCTGTGGCGGCCTTAGATGTCGGCGATTAATCACACGGAATTACCTCGTCTTGTTTCCATTCAACAACATTTCTTGCCGTGAATCATTACACACATAATTATAATGTAATACGATTAAACATGTCCCGTGTTTCTGTAATCTCCAAGACTTGTCATGTTTGTCTCCAAGATCCCAGATTGGCGAATTGGTCGAATTCTTCTCAGAGAATTCGCTCGTACGTACGTTATTACGTTTTTCTCTCGAGAGCCGTTATTCGCGATCTCTCCCCCCCTCCCCCCCAAGTGGAACTTTTCGGCCTACGGGTAACATTCCTCTGGGTATAATAGTCATCTCCAGAATATCTCGCGTGTTGTTATCCTCTGTCACATTGTAACGTCACAAGGATGATCCTCATCCTGCCTTTTCAGATTCCTGAAGGAGGGTCGTAATTCGTCCGCCAGTTTGACAAACGTGAGTTCCGGCGCGCTCACGGAATTCGAGATTGCGGAAATCCGGCGTAAGATCGAGAGGGCAAATGCGGAACAGAAAGTCTACAACGAGGAGGCGTTCGGGCCGCTGGCCAGCGACGCTCCTATCATAGTCATCCAAGTGCACACGAGGCTCACTTATCTCCGACACCTGATCGTATCGCTGGCGCAGGCGAAGGACATTGAACAGGCCCTCCTGGTCTTCAGCCACGATATCTGGCACCCGGATATCAACTACCTCGTACAGAGCGTCGACTTTTGCCGGGTTATGCAGATCTTTTATCCGCACAGTATACAGACCCATCCGCATACGTTCCCCGGCGAGGGGCCCAACGACTGTCCACGGAATATCCGCAAAGAACAGTGAGTGAGACTCTCGTACAGACTTGTACGCGATTCAATCGCTCGGATCAATTCTAGACCAATAAGAGCCGGGCGAAGATCATTCAGCGAATAGATTTAACTTCGACTCTTGGCTGAGGCGGCACATTTCTTCTCAATTTCATTACATATAAAATAAAGGATCAACATCACAGCTGATTAGACGGCTGATGGCTAATTGCTTCTCGTACGTTCGCGAAAGAAAGACTATTGATTTTGTGAGGAAAGTCTCGTGGAATACTCCTCATCCTCCTATCAACATTCTTGCGCGGCTCTTATTGACCCAAATTGATCTTGATGATTGAACATCCGAGAGCCTCGATACAAAATATCGCTTCTTCTCACGCGCTTCATCAACCCCAATGTTCGTTCCTCGGCTTCCTAACGGTCTACTTTCTCCGCACCTCCGCGAATCGCAGGGCCTTAAATTTGAAGTGCGCCAACGCCAAGCACCCGGACTTGTATGGCCACTACAGGGAAGCCAAGTTCACGCAGACCAAGCATCACTGGTGGTGGAAGGCGAACCGTGTGTTCGACCGGCTCTCGGTGACGCGGAACCATACCGGTATGGTGCTGTTCCTCGAAGAGGACCACTACGTCGCCGAGGACTTCTTGCACGTGCTCAGACTCATGGAGCGCACTTGCAAGCTCAGCTGCGAGCGTTGTAACGTCCTGTCGTTGGGTACATATTTAAAGACCTACAACTATTTTACGGATCTTACCCGCAAGGTGAGTGCCCCATGTGTCGCGTTGCGATTATCTTGGATTCTGCTTCACGCGTTGTTTCATGCACAAAGCGAGGATAATGATCTAGGCCGGTTACACACGTACTTAGAGAGGGGGAGAGAGAGAGAGAGAGAGAGAAAGAGAGAGAGACAGAGACGCAGCATCAATAAAAGCGTAGTATACGACAGACAAGACGACCTAAAACCTAAGTTCGCTCGGCATCTCTCATGCACGACTTTTCTCGATTCTTAATCTCCAAGCGAATATAGGATAACGACCAACTTTTTCTCACTGGCACGCGCGTTATTACGTTATTGCTGCCGCTTGTAGCGTGGTAATTATGGCAAAGGCGTTAGCACGCGCGTTATAGCCGCCGTTAAACGCGCGTCCCTCCTTCGAGTAAAGAGAGGACACGCGTCTTCTTCTCGATACGGCGACTCGACACGCAGGGAGAGACAGAGAGGGACAGAAAGAGAGAGAGACAAAGAGGCAGGGAGGGAGGGAGGGAGAAAGAGAGAAGGAGAGAAAGGGGAAGAGAGAGAAAAAGAGATCGAGGCGGAAATCGAGTCGGCCGGCACCGTTGCATGGCGTTTACGATGAGAAGCGTATCCGACGTGTGTACGTACGTTCACCATTAGTATCTGTATCGATGTTTCACGCACATCCGATCCCGTTAGTTCCTCGGCGTCGATAGCGCTCTGCAGAAGGAGCTTCTGCGTGGGCTAAAGCGGCAGGAAGCACCGGCGGTCCGGAGGCAAATCGGCGGCAACGGGGTCGACGACGTCACCGTCGGCGGTGCCGCCGGCATCACCAACGGAAGTACCGGTGGAACCACAAGCGGTATCACCGCTGGTAGTAACAGAGGCGGCAGCGGCGGCGGCGGCGGCGGCGGCGGTGGCAGTATCAGCGGCAACGTTATCAGCGGCGTCGGCGTCGGTGGCGTGTCTACCTATCAGAACGTGGCGAACGCGATGCAAACGGCGCCCGCATGGGCCTTCCAGCTGCTACCCAGCCTCTACAACCACTATCAGAAGGTTCTCAGAGACCGCAACCACCATCACCACCACCACCACCACCACCACCACCACTACCAACCCTCGCCCGAGACTAGAGCAAAAAACCGCCTACCGCCATATTCTTTGATTCTTTGGCTCGCCTTGGCCTGGCTGCACATCTTTCTCTTTGCTTCTTCGCCTCTTCCGTCGCGTGTTATGTTATCTTCTCTGCGAGAACGAAAGTAACTCTCCCCTTCTACCCTTCCCCCGGTGAACTCTGTCATCCCGAATCGGCTGCGAGATCTTGCACGGCTTCCCGAACCCACCCGGCTCGCGTCGATCGACGTCAACGGACGACGCGACCGATCGATCATCCTGCTGATCGCTTGAACGTTCAACTAGAGAGGATCGTGGGAGCGCTGCCTCGGTGTGCCCTCGTGTGCGACGTTGTTCGGCGAGCTGTGAATCACGGATTCACGGCTTCTGTGCGCGCGTGTCCGATTGAATCTTGGCGCATTCTTATTACACACCCATGCCGCAGACGTGATAGGTGAAGCTCCTCCTCCGTAGATAAACTCGCACCTCCTCGAGGCGATAGTGCATGCTTCGAGTATTCACCTTACCATCCTACTTGCCCAGCTCACCCGTCTATCTACCTCCCTACTTACTGTCGTCGTGTACACGATACAAAGTCACAATACAAGCGACCCTGTTACCGCCGTGTAAGCATTGAGACGGTGTCGAGTGTGCAACCGGCACACGTACAGTCAGAGTCGCGGACCTTCACCTTATCGCGACTCTTGCCCTTTGCGTGAAAGACAGGAGCCAAGTTGAGAGAAGCTCCCAGGTGAAATTCTGACTTTGTCTCGAACGATCGCTTTAGTTCTAGTTGTACATGTAGTTTCGATATCCTGCAGTAGATTTTTCTGTATGATATACGAGTCATGAGGAGAGAATGAGAGGGAGAGAAAGAATGAGAGCAAGAGAGAGAGAGAGAGAAAGAAAGAGGGGGGGGGGGGAGATCGATACGCCAAAGATCGATAAAGCGAGTAACCTTCGTTCTCTTTGAACAGGCGGAGGTGACCCCCTGGATATCCAGCAAGCATAACATGGGCATGGCGTTCAATCGCGTCACGTGGAATAAGCTGCGGAAGTGTGCGGCGCAGTTTTGCTCGTATGACGACTACAACTGGGACTGGAGCCTGCAGTATATCGCGCAGACCTGCCTGCCGCCCAGCCGAGGCGCCGGGATTGCGCCTCGCGCCGAATCCGGGTTGATCACGATGACGATGAGAGCTCCGAGAGTCTTCCATATTGGTGAATGGTGAGTGAGAAGATTCTCGTCGTTCGTACGTGAATTTTGTCGAGCTCTCGAAATTCTATCTCCGCGGAGGGTCTCTTGACGACTTGGTACTTCACATGTAACGGTTACTTCCGCAGTGGAGTCCACCATAAGAAGAACAACTGCGAGTCGACGGCGGTGATAGCGAAGGTCCAAAACGTGCTGAAGGCGGCGCGCAATCACCTGTTCCCCACGCAGTTGACGTTAACGATCGCCGGCACAGCGAAGAAGACGAAACTCAGAAAGGGCAACGGCGGCTGGGGAGACGTGCGAGATCACCAGCTTTGTTGGAACATGACTGTGTATCCGGATCTGATCCTGCCTTGAAGCTCGAAGTCCTCCCGTGTGTGGGTGATGATTGGTTCCTACGTGTGCATCGTACTGCAGATTAATCGTAGTGCGATGAATTCGCCAGTTACCGAACGACTGTCAGAGCCAAATACGTCTGTCGTGAATATATCCGTGAACACACGGCTTTGCCGAGATATTTTAAGGATACGCCGCAGAGGAGCGAGGAGACCCCATCGAAGGATCTCCCTCCTTCAATGAATAGATTTCGATCTGAACACGTCATCGTGTCGTTACCAGCCATGGTCGTGATCATCGTAGCTATTGTTATCGTGAGATCGTCGTCACTGCCGTGAGGTTTTCGCCGGAAATAGCAGTAATCGTAGATGCTTCGTCGAGATCCATTGTAACATCACGAAGTAGACGAAAGGAAAGAAAACACCGAGCGACAGTGAGCTCTCAAACCGGTGCTATATCTTGAGGACGTATGCTTCACGTCTGGATGCGTCTAGTTGATTCGTCGCTTTGGACGCTGCGTGTCCATCGCGACGACGTGAGATAGACAATTAAAGGGAGAGACACTAAGGTACACAGACGGATTAGCGGAACGCCTGAAGTCGCTCGTGCGAATGAAGGAGCAAGCGTTGGATTGATCGGCCGTCGAAGCATATAGTAACACGTTATTACGGATAATGTTTCAACGGACGAAGAAGCACAAAAAATTTACTTATCCTGTTCACACACACAGAAAAAGATGAATAGCGCGATATAAACGTGGCCGGATGAGCCACCGTTTCCTTTTCACTATATTTTCAGAGTACGAATGAGAATACGATAGAGGAGTCTGTTTGGTCTAAATCGATGTATTATTAATGTTCTAAGGGCCTAGACTCAAGACGGAGGAGAGGCAATGCGTCAGCATTGATCCAAGTTCCAATCGCCAGACGGAAGCGCGAACGCGTGTTGCGAGAAGTGATCGAATAAACGGAAACGACACGTTGGAACACGGTGGAAGCAAAACGGCTGTATTCTGTACTTTGTAATTTCATGATGGAATAACGTTTCCGCTTTCCCCGACTAGCTTCTTATAATGATCTGCTCTTTTCTAAGGGCCACGCTTGCGACGGCGTGGCGTTGTCGAGGTCGGCGAGGACCGATCGCGAAATGCGCTCATTATATTCTAGTCAATGTGTATAACGTAAACACTGGAGCCGCAAGTATTTAATAATAATCGGTCGTAGAGAATAAGTAAAGTTAAGGATTTACACCTACTTTACTAGTGATACGCCTTCGAAGGGCGCAATGTAACGTCATGTAACGACCTCGGGGATATGAACGTAATTGAATGTCATGTACCTTTTATATTTATAATAATAACAAAACCAATGAGAAAATATATAGAACTCAATGAAACGGGTATTGGCTCCCCCCGTCGCCCTCTCTTTTTCCTTTGCTTGTAAAAAAGCTTACTTGTTTTTGCCGGTACACATTTTTCTTGGAAGACTTGATAAATACGTTAAAGATATCGCGCCGTTAAACACACGCGAAAAGAAAGAAAGGTTTAATGAAAATTACGCGTACATAACCGGCCGACTATTTTCTATTCTTTCGGTTCTGATTGATAGCACAAAGATGCGCATTGCTACTCCTACACCATAATTTTACGAAAAAGTAATGATATATTCACGAGATTTAAAATAATACATAAAATGCATGTATACTTATACTCTGCCACATAAGAAACTCAGCTCAGACTCGTTCACGCGTCGATTATAAACCCAAATGCTTGTGATAAGCCGGCACGTTATCGTCGTATTCCGCCGTCATAAAATTACCGGCGATCGGACTCTCCAAATTGTACTTCTCCGCGAATTTCTTTATGGAGAACCTCTTGCGCTGGCTTCCATCCCTGCAATTAACGAGGATAAAACGCGTTATCGAATATCCGGTTGCGCAATATACGTAGAACGCAATCACGAGCGACGCGTAGTTTGCTCACCAAGTACTCAATCTTCTCTCGTCGAAAGTAATGGAACCCTGATTCTGCTTGTAGACGAGGAATACATAACGATGTTTGCCGGTGTTCTTGGGCGGAGCGGGACCGACGTATTCCGCTAGAATTTCACCTTTGGCCACATTTTCCTCGGGTATATTTCCTACGAGCCAGTGGCGGTACTCTCGATTGTACCCTCCCCTCCTCGGTGCGTCGGGATCTGCAGTGACCCGAAACGGAATGAGATGAGAGAAACACGAGCAATTCGCATGGAATAATAAATATGGAGCCGGTAATATTGTTCCGAGAGGTATACATTTGCATACGTTGGATTTACATAACTCTAAACCTGACAATTAAGACACTGATGAGCTCGCTCGCGTGTGGTCGAGCAACGGCGCTGGAGAGAAAACTGGTTTGCGGGACGGTGAAAGTTGAACTCAGCGAGGATAGCGCGCCTTTATGCGCATTTGATTTACACGGCGAGGCCATCAGTGCAAGGAAATAAAGCGAGTTCGCTTCAGAAGTCCGGATTTGTTATCGCACGGTGTGTTTATTCTCGCGGGTTTTTTTCTTTTTTTTTATATATTTGTAGTGTCGTTGTTTTTATTATTAATTTAAACCATTCAAGACTCACCTGTCATGACAAGCGTATACAGCACTCCGCCCTCGTGTTTATAATGTATTTCGGGTATCTCATGGGTTTCGGTTGGCGTCAGCTCGGTTCCCAGATCGACCGTTTTATCGCCGTATTTCACCTGTGCCATAAAAAGTTATTTACATGAAAAATGCCGCGATGCATAAATAATGGGACAACGAATAATAATAAAAGAATAATGTGCATTACAAGGACGACCTATTTTAAACGCCCATCTCTCTTTCTCCCTCTCTTTCTTATTTTGAAGGAAACGCACGTTATTCGAACAAATATTTCTGGCAAAGGTTCTTTTGGTTTTAAGAGGCTAGCGCAGCAATGTCAATATTGGCCTGATTTTGTTTAGACTTTTGTTTGAAACATTTTTTTCAAATAATGCGTTTCTTTCGAAGTATTTTAGCTGGACATTGAAAATGAATCATCCTGTAAAGTCCTGTACTGAATAGTGTAAAATGTCAAGTTCAACGAGAATGTTTATCTCTCTACGAGCACCCGTATAGCCTCGATGAATTTTTGATACGTACCTCGATCATTTCAGTTGGCGCTTTGTCTATAATGTCAGGCATGATTTTCGCTTTTTTAAATTCCGACTCCACATCGCCTAACGCAAAGCCAATCGCGCAGAGAAAAATTCCTGGGAATCATTAAATTGCGGATGAAATTACTAACGACAGAACACTGAGTAATATTCACTGAGATACCAAGATGACACTTATCCTGATATGAAATGGTTCCTTCTGCAAAATTACTCTAATGTTGCAATAAACAAAAATGTAACATAACGAACCTGATATTAAATACTTCATTCTTGGTATCGCTATTTCCAGCCAACGGCAAAAACACTATTAACCAACCTTGCGAGAGAGACGGAAAGTTTTATGGATAGGTATCCCCACCAGTTTAAATCCGTGAAGGCCGATCTTTCTCAGCTGCTGACCTTTCCAATACCTACTACTAACATGAAACACCTACACTACACATGAGGTAAAGAAATAAGTGAAAACTTCCGAATAAAATTTTCCTCGTTGCCTAACAGATCGCATATTTAATTAATTTATTAATATACCGATAAAGTTCTATAGTCTTTGTATTCTTTCATGGTTAATAAAAACGACCTAGCCCCAAATGCATTAATTGATCTGTCAAATTTAATCGAAAAACTAGTTTCAAAAGAGGGCAGTTTTCATGGCAGAACAAACATTTAGCTCTCTTAGAACTTAATCATACGACTATTTATATAGTACCCCATATTTATGTTTGTAAAAGCCTGTAAATACAACACGACTTGCGTAAGAAAAACGGAAAAAAATATCTCTGAAACACGTAGCTTTGTTTCAATCGAGGAATTTGATTCATTCAAAACGTCTAATTTTTCGCAATTGAAAACAGTAAATAGCACTACTTGCTGAGTGCTATCTACTGTCTTCTGAGTGAGATAAATAAATAAAATAAGATAAAATTGGCTTACTTTTTGGCTCTTGGTTGTGAGAAATATGAGTATTATGCTAAAAAATGCTTGAAATATATTTATTCAAGTTGTTGGATATACATCATTGTGTATATATATATATATATATGTTATTATATTATATTGTATATTGTAAGTTCATGGTATATATATTTTCTTAACCCTCAAGCTGCTTGTAGAGAATCGGTACGTAATCATCCCATTCTGCCTGATACATGTTACCAGCAATTGGATCACCGAGTTTATATTTAGCAGCAAATTTTTTGATAGAGAATTTTCCGCGATTGTCGCCACTACGATTAGTCAAATGCTTCTCATCAAATGTCAGCTTGCCGGGTTGCTTGTACAACAGGAAGACGTATCGATGAAGACCAGTACCTTGCGGAGGACCAGAACCAATATATTGAGACAAAATTTCTCCTTTGGACACGTCTGATCCAGGAATATTACCGACCAACCAGTGATGCCATTCGCGGAACTTGGGTTCTTTCCTGCTTGGTGCATCAGGATCTGGTTGAACATAGAAATGATATATATACATATTACATCCTATTATACAATAGGAAGTTGTATTGTTATATAATAGGAAGTATATTTAGCACAAGATGTATAAATATATTTATCCAGATAGCTCTGCCAAAGCTATTTTTGTCAAAGTTAAAGTTTTATATTCTTAAATATCATAAATACAATATAATACTCGATTAACTTTATTATGTTTATATTATAGTATCCAATATACTATAGTTGTGAAACAAATTTTATAAGGATACAATTTTTTACACCAGATCTTTCAATTACAAATATATATAACAAACATTACTTACCAGTCATGCACAAAGTATAAAAAGCATTATCTTCGCCACTCCATTGGATGTTAGGCTGATCCTTGACTTGAGTCGGTGTGAGTACCTTTCCGATCTCAACAGCAAGACTGTTGGGATATGTGACCTTCAGCACATCAGCAGGTACCTTGTCAACCACATCTGGTACGACCCCGTGTGTTTGCAAAGCCTGAGCCATGGAAGATAATAGACGTGTTCCTACTTGTGATACTGCTGTTGTAGCTCCTGCAGTAAGATATTCATTGATTTTACTATGGCAACTACATTTTACTTTGATAACAATATGGAAGATGATATTAGTGTACTGCAATATAAATGATCGTTGTAAGATATAGTTCCTTAATCTATATTTAATTATCTGTAGATATGTTTTGTATTATGCTGCTGAATAGCTTTTGCTGGTAAAAGGCAAACAACGAATATTCTCGAAACTGGTACCCAGAAAGCAAATCGCGAAGAACAGAGCAATTTTTTGACGCAGCGACATTGCGACCAAAAGTAATGTGTATCTCAACGAACGATTCACGAGATATCTTTTATAACCAGATTCAACTCAACCATAAAATGTTTGTACGCGCTTAATGGGGGATACCACAATATATGTTATTTTAGAAAGTATTATTACTTCTGGCGAGGAGATAGAGAGACATGTCGGTACTTGCCACTACTTGCCGGTACGAAACACGAATACGAGGACGAAAGACCAACTGGAGTATGCTGGAGTTGCACACCGCTTTACCCCTCACCGCCAACAGTATAATTTCAAATCGGTCTGTTATTTGCTAGTCACTGACGAATAACTAAAGCTGTTATTTAGTGTAACGATAATATACGCGAGACAAAAATACACGACATGCACCAGATGTAGTAAACAATCGTAAATAACGGCGAAAATTGGTAGTCACACTACGAGCTACGAGCGATAATGAAATCCGTTAACAGACGACAACGGAACGTCGTCAAAATAAATGAAATTCTAATTTCCTTTCCAATTTGTTCGAAAGAAGCACCAAATTCGCGCGTTTCATTTGTAAACGTGCAATGTAAATGCTCAAAAGGAGAGAATTTGAATTAAATAGTGAGAATTTACGTTAACTAAATGAGGATTTAACAAAAATATAAAAAATTGAGATCTGCTGTGAAATACGAATATACAAAGATTTTCGAAGAAAATATAGCCATTTTATATGTATATATATTTAGATATTTGTGACAAATTATACATGCCTTACATTATATGCTTGAAAACTTCGTAGAACTTTATGAAAATTCGTATGCCGTCGTAGGTCGTAGTTTACCAGGTTCTCGTAACATTCAGCCAAGACTCGAATCACATTCGGTCGAGATTCAAACCATTCAGTCAAACCAGAGAGAAACGTGACAGCAGCCAACATGACGTTTTCCACGACACCAACTTTCTGCACTGGGAAAAGGCGCCATCTGCATTCATTTTGAGAGGGGAACTACGATGGTACATCCACTTTCATGTGGTGGAAGTCCGTGCTACATCCATTTTCAGGCGGTTTATGTCCGTGCTGCAACCGCAGTAGCCATCCCTATGCCAGACTATGCCCGATGGTCTAAAAAGAATGGAAAGGAGGGGAGAGGAGCAGAAAAGATATTATTATTAAATTAAATTACTTTTTATATTTGTAAAGCGTCTTAGTAGAAGAACAAATTTATACGAAATTCACTGAACTTCAATTAAAAAGTTCAAATACGTTCAAAAAAGTTAAGAATTTAAATTGCCGCATATAGGTAGTTCGTGAAAAATAAAGAAATTTTACAAAAGCTATAAAAGCACTATTTGCCAAAAAGGGTGTTCATTTTGCTTCATTGATATATAATTACGATTGCAAATATATTATCAGGAAAAATGAAGTATTTCTGCTTTACGCCTGCAAATATTCGCCGGTCTCTGCAATTTTGTAATAGTGTAGTGTGATATAATGCAACGGAAACATTTTATTGTTACAATATATTACTACATTACGCCAGAATACCTACAGGAAAGTATTTTGTTAGTGCGTTAAAAAAACTTAAGCAAGGGCAAGCAATGTAGGGTTTTGATAGGACTTTAATTTGGTGCCAGAACCAGGCCTGTATCTCTAACCGTTTAGGAGATATCGAAGGTTAAAGTTTTCCAAGCTTTCTCCGTTGATAATTCCGCTTCTACTGGGAGTAGAGAGTCGTCACTTACGACAAAATGTAGGTTTTGAGAGGACTTTAATTTGGTGCCAGAACCAGGCCTGTATCTCTAAGCGTTTAGGAGATATCGAAGGTTAAAGTTTTCCAAGCTTTCTCCGTCGATATCTCCGCTTCTACTGGGAGTAGAGAGTCGTCACTTACGGCAAAATGTAGGGTTTTGAGAGGACTTTAATTTGGTGCCAGAACCAGGCCTGTATCTCTAACCGTTTAGGAGATATCGAAGGTTAAATTTTCCCAAGCTTTCTCCGTTGATATCTCCGCTTCTACTGGGAGTAGAGAGTCGTCACTTACGGCAAAATGTAGGGTTATGAGAGGACTTTAATTTGGTGCCGGAACCAGGCCTGTATCTCTACCCGTTTAGGAGATAACGAAGGTTAAAGTTTTCCAAGCTTTCTCCGTTGATATCTCCGCTTCTACTGGGAGTAGAGAGTCGTCACTTACGGCAAAATGTAGGGTTTTGAGAGGACTTTAATTTGGTGCCAGAACCAGGCCTGTATCTCTAACCGTTTAGGAGATATCGAAGGTTAAAGTTTTCCAACCTTTCTCCGTCGATATCTCCGCTTCTACTGGGAGTAGAGAGTCGTCACTTACGGCAAAATGTAGGGTTTTGAGAGGACTTTAATTTGGTGCCAGAACCAGGCCTGTATCTCTAACCGTTTAGGAGATATCGAAGGTTAAAGTTTTCCAAGCTTTCTCCGTCGATATCTCCGCTTCTACTGGGAGTAGAGAGTCGCCACTTACGGCAAAATGTAGGGTTTTGAGAGCACTTTAATTTGGTGCCAGAACCAGGCCTGTATCTCTAACCGTTTAGGAGATATCGAAGGTTAAAGTTTTCCAAGCTTTCTCCGTCGATATCTCCGCTTCTACTGGGAGTAGAGAGTCGTCACTTACGGCAAAATGTAGGGTTTTGAGAGGACTTTAATTTGGTGCCAGAACCAGGCCTGTATCTCTAACCGTTTAGGAGATATCGAAGGTTAAAGTTTTCCAAGCTTTCTCCGTCGATATCCAGCCTTCATCCGTCGATATCTCCGCTTCTACTGGGAGTAGAGAGTCGTCCATGAAGTCCAAAATGTAGGGTTTTGAAAGGGTTTTAATTTGGTACCTGTCCGAAGCCTGTATCTCTAACCGTTTAGGAGATATCGAAGTTTAAAGTTTTCCAACCTTTCTCCGACGATATCTCCGCTTCTACTGGGAGTAGAGAGTCGTCCATGTAGTCCAAAATGTAGGGTTTTGGAAGGGCTTTAATTTGGTACCTGTCCGAAGCCTGTATCTCTAACCGTTTAGGAGATATCGAAGGTTAAAGATTTCCAACCTTTCTCCGTCGATATCCAGCCTTCATCCGTCGATATCTCCGCTTCTACTGGGAGTAGAGAGTCGTCCATGTAGTCCAAAATGTAGGGTTTTGAAAGGGCTTTAATTTGGTACCAGTCCGAAGCATGTATCTCTAACCTTTTAGGATATATCGAAGGTTAAAGTTTTCCAACCTTTCTCCGTCGATATCCAGCCTTCATCCGTCGATATCTCCGCTTCTACTGGGAGTAGAGAGTCGTCCATGTAGTCCAAAATGTAGGGTTTTGAAAGGGCTTTAATTTGGTACCTGTCCGAAGCCTGTATCTCTAACCGTTTAGGAGATATCGAAGGTTAAAGTTTTCCAACCTTTCTCCGTCGATATCCAGCCTTCATCCGTCGATATCTCCGCTTCTACTGGGAGTAGAGAGTCGTGCATGTAGTCCAAAATGTAGGGTTTTGTAAGGGCTTTAATTTGGTACCTGTCCGAAGCCTGTATCTCTAACTGTTTAGGAGATATAGAAGTTTAAAGTTTTCCAACCTTTCTTCGACGATATCTCCGCTTCTACTGGGAGTAGAGAGTCGTCCATGTAGTCCAAAATGTAGGGTTTTGAAAGGGCTTTAATTTGGTACCTGTCCGAAGCCTGTATCTCTAACCGTTTAGGAGATATCGAAGGTTAAAGTTTTCCAACCTTTCTCCGTCGATATCCAGCCTTCATCCGTCGATATCTCCGCTTCTACTGGGAGTAGAGAGTCGTCCATGTAGTCCAAAATGTAGGGTTTTGAAAGGGCTTTAATTTGGTACCTGTCCGAAGCCTGTATCTCTAACCGTTTAGGAGATATCGAAGGTTAAAGTTTTCCAACCTTTCTCCGTCGATATCCAGCCTTCATCCGTCGATATCTCCGCTTCTACTGGGAGTAGAGAGTCGTCCATGTAGTCCAAAATGTAGGGTTTTGAAAGGGCTTTAATTTGGTACCTGTCCGAAGCCTGTATCTCTAACCGTTTAGGAGATATCGAAGGTTAAAGTTTTCCAACCTTTCTCCGTCGATATCCAGCCTTCATCCGTCGATATCTCCGCTTCTACTGGGAGTAGAGAGTCGTCCATGTAGTCCAAAATGTAGGGTTTTGAAAGGGCTTTAATTTGGTACCTGTCCGAAGCCTGTATCTCTAACCGTTTAGGAGATATCGAAGGTTAAAGTTTTTCAACCTTTCTCCGTCGATATCCAGCCTTCATCCGTCGATATCACCGCTCCTACTGGGAGTAGAGAGTCGTCCATGTAGTCCAAAATGTAGGGTTTTGAAAGGCTTTAATTTGGTACCTGTCCGAAGCCTGTATCTCTAACCGTTTAGGAGATATCGAAGGTTAAAGTTTTTCAACCTTTCTCCGTCGATATCCAGCCTTCATCCGTCGATATCTCCGCTTCTACTGGGAGTAGAGAGTCGTCCATGTAGTCCAAAATGTAGGGTTTTGAAAGGGCTTTAATTTGGTACCTGTCCGAAGCCTGTATCTCTAACCGTTTAGGAGATATCGAAGTTTGAAGTTTTCCAACCTTTCTCCGTCGATATCCAGCATTCATCCGTCGATATCTCCGCTTCTACTGGGAGTATAGAGTCGTCCATGTAGTCCAAAATGTAGGGTTTTGAAAGGGCTTTAATTTGGTACCTGTCCGAAGCCTGTATCTCTAACCGTTTAGGAAATATTAAAGGTTAAAGTTTTCCAACCTTTCTCCGTCGATATCTCCGCTTCTACTGGGAGTAGAGAGCCGTCCATGTAGTCCAAATTGTAGGGTTTTGAAAGGGCTTTAATTTGGTACCTGTCCGAAGCCTGTATCTCTAACCGTTTAGGAGATATCGAAGGTTAAAGATTTTCAACCTTTTCTCCCGTCGATATCCAGCCTTCATCCGTCGATATCTCCGCTTCTACTAGGAGTAGAGAGTCGTCCATGTAGTCCAAAATGTAGGGTTTTTGAAAGGGCTTTAATTTGGTACCTGTCCGAAGCCTGTATCTCTAACCGTTTAGGAGATATCGAAGTTTGAAGTTTTCCAACCTTTCTCCGTCGATATCCAGCCTTCGTCCGTCGATATCTCCGCTTCTACTGGGAGTAGAGAGTCGTCCATGTAGTCCAAAATGTAGGGTTTTGAAAGGGCTTTAATTTGGTACCTGTCCGAAGCCTGTATCTCTAACCGTTTAGGAGATATCGAAGTTTGAAGTTTTCCAACCTTTCTCCGTCGATATCCAGCCTTCATCCGTCGATATCTCCGCTTCTACTGGGAGTAGAGAGTCGTCCATGTAGTGAAAATGTAGGGTTTTGAAAGGGCTTTAATTTGGTACCTGTCCGAAGCCTGTATCTCTAACCGTTTAGGAGATATCGAAGGTTAAAGTTTTCCAACCTTTCTCCGTCGATATCCAGCCTTTCATCCGTCGATATCTCCGCTTCTATTGG